TGCACATATAGATGTGTAGAAGTCGAAGTAGAAAGGTGAAGAAAATTTATTCAGCATTTACACTATTCCCAGCTTCACCCCCTCATTGCAATGCCTCTCCCCCCTTACCTCTCGTTCCCACATTCCTCAATACTTCCGTCCGTCACTCACCGCCCCCCCTCCTTCATCCCGCAGACGAAGTGCGGTATAAAGGTCAACTCAAGGTCACCGCCGGAGACACGTGGATCCCCGACCTGGCGCGGTCCGCGTCGCCCGCCTTCAGAGCCAAGGCGCTGAAGTACGAGAAGATGGTAAGGGCACTGGCTTGGCGTCGGGCGGTTCTGATGGGCGGCTGAGTGCGTAGCTGGGATCATTGGCTGATTATTATATTGGATACTTGTAGTTCATTAGCTAAAGTGAAGGGAACCGACGTAAGATGTAATTATATTTTGATGGAATGTTGATTGAAGTTTGTTTTAGGTTATTGTTTGCGGGGGAAACACACACACACACACACACACACACACACACACACACACACACACACACACACACACACACACACACACACACACACACACACACACACACACACACACACACACACGCCCGCCATTTCCCTCCCACATCTCTCCCACGCGCCCCTTTCTCTCGCAGCTGGAGTCCGTCTACGAGAACAGCTTCCTGAAGGGCTCGCTGAGGAACGCCAAGGTCCTGCGCATCCTGAGGAACCCCGAGAACAACCGCGGACTCAACCTGCACTTCAAGCTCGCCCTCGACCGCCGGAAGATGCCCAGGTGAGGAACTGCGGGTCAAGGGGTAGGGACGTTGTTGTTATTTTTCATTAGTGTTGTCATTGTTATTATCATCATAGTTATTATTATTATAGATGTTGTTATTATTATTATAGATGTTGTTATTATTATTATTATTATTATTATTATTATTATTATTATTATTATTATTATTATTATCATTATTGTCGTCATCACCATCATTATTATTTTCATCGTTATCAACAACAAATTGTTATCATTACGGTTATTGCTGTCATACTTTCATATCATATTTATTTCATTATTATTTTTGGTGTCATTTTTTCGTCATCATATCATCACATTTAAGTAAGTTTGCTTTTGGCAATTTTATCTTATTGGACAATATAAGTATCGACTTTCTTTTTGGCTTTTTTTGCAAGAACATATACCTTTTTTGGTTGTCTCATCTTTTCTTAGAATTTCGTCTGGTTAAGAAGAGGATGGGGCAGGGGGGGGAGGGTAGTAGGATAGTGTTGTAAGTTCTTGATTTACTGCAAGTTGGTGCTTTACAAAAGAATAACTCGAGTCTTCGAAAATGAAACACAAGAAGAGATATATGAAAGTCTGTAATCTGTTTTGACAAGCTGTCATCAAATAGCATTATCTTGTAATTTCAAGAACGCTATTACATTCATCTCTTATACCAGTTTCTTTAGTAACCCTTATCTACTATTCCTCCACAGCCACGTTGATAACACAGAGCTGGCAGTCAAGGACGTTCTGCTGCAAGAACTGATGAGCCTAGAACCTGTTGCATTCCAGAAAGTTGCGGTCGATATCGATTCGTTTAGAATTGCAAGTAAGTGTCGATTCAAGGAGTACTTTTAACTAGGATGAGCTTTTCGATTAAGTAATAAGTAATGGCATTGTCGGTAAGGATGAGGTGCTGAGTTTTCGAATTGGTTAACTACATTAAAGTACATTATTTGTTTCCTTTGTGTGAAACGTTATTTGTGTTTAATTCTACGGTGGCAACACTTCATGTTTCACCTACAGAGCAGGATGTACTACAGCTTGCCCACGCCTGTGCAGTTAGCCAGGGTGGTAAATAAAGGACTAAACTAAACTAAAGAGCAGGATGCGCTTTTGTTATATATAAAAACAGCATTATGCAGCACCAGGATTGTAGGAGGGTTCATGACTGGGCTAGCACTTCACAAACTGAGTTGGCAGGAATACTCATGGCCACCGAATTTCTATTGAATCAAGGCTCAGGGGTCATTTTCTGTGATTCACAGACTGGTCTCCAGGCTCTGAACACTCTAAACAAAGGTGCAAATGACATCTCGATAAACGTGTATCGTGCAAAAGAACGAGGCCATAATATACGTTTTGTGTGGATCCCATCGCATGTTGGATTCCCTAGGCATGATCATGCTGATCGCCTAGCAAAGTCAGCATGTGACAAACAAAGTGTGGATATAGATCTTGGGTTACCTCTTTCTAGGATTTTATACACCATTAAAGTTTCCTTCAAAGAGGACTTGACTGAGTTAATTAATTCTCAACGCCCCGAAAGCTGTAGCATAAAGCACTATGACCGGTTTAGACAAGATTCATTCATCTATGGTTTATATAAAACAAGAACAAGACAGTGTGATGTTATGTCTGCAAGAATCAGGCTTAGATATAGAATGTATTGGCAGGTCAGTACAGCTTGTAATGTCGAAGAAACTAAGTGTAAACTGTGTAATGAAGAATATAAGCGAACACTTGTACATTATATCTCAGAGTGCCATGTGTTACAGCCTTTCAGACCACCTAGCATGAGGTACGGAGAACTAAGTAACTACTTCATATCATCTGATGTCTTAGAAGATATAATAATGTTGTATCCTAAATTTGGAATGTAGTATCACATGAGTAGTTAAAGGACTGTGCAATTGTTTTCTTTCCTTGAACTGATAAAGTACTTATCATAACAATGTTATAGGATAATATCTAAATGTAATACCATTATGTAATGTTATGACCATGCATTAAACGTACTACAGCTTGCCCACGCCTGTGCAGTTAGCCAGGATGGTAAATAAAGGACTAAACTAAAACTTAACGTTGGTCCATTATTTTTTAATTGACGAAGATATGTTCTTGATACTGTTTCGAAAGAGGAAGAGATTTGTATATAGACGTAAAAGGAAAAATGACAAAGAACAAAGAAAAGCTTGCAAAATGAAATCAAAACACCTCATCAACCACCTTTTACTAACCCGTCCAAACCCCACAGGAGAGAGTAACGTCACCCGGTCGGAATCAGCAGCCTCTTCGGCGCAAAAGGAGGAGGAGGAAGTGCAGGTGATTAAGGTCGAAGGAACGCAGGAGTCTCCCGGAGGATCTATCGTGATCAAGAAGCCCTCTGGCGGCGCGGATCGCTCGCAGCAGGTACGGAAGGAACACCTGTAGTCGAGGTTTTTACTGTGAAGGAATAGTGTTCGAGTTCTGCCTCTGTGGCCGGTGTCAGTAAAGTTTATGCTGAGAAGGAAGGGGTTTGAGTTGTGTTTCAGTTTTGTCAGTGAGTCTGAATGAAAACTTTTTATGTTGAAGTTATGTCTGTGTTTGATTATGTCAAATATAACTGAATTGTTTCTCTTGTTACTTCTTATTTTAAATTCATATCAGTTATAGAAACACAGTAATGTAACGGCAGATCTATTCTTCGAAAATATTAATGAAACGTAGAAACCAGTGTTGGAACTTTCTGTATATTTGTAATGACTAGCCGATGCGTGAGAGTGACTAGATTAACTGATATCCTTTAGTTACTGCAGTCGCTATTATCTACTATATTTTCATCGTAATTGATTTCAGCGATTTTCTTTCCTTTACTATCCTCTTTATTTATACATCGATTTTCATTCTTGTGGCCATAGGATGACGCACGCGAGGAGAGTAGCACCGTGGCCAACCTGATCTACCAGTTCGGCGCGTGGCGGCCCGTCAACCCCTACAACTTCCAGCCGTCCTCGCCCGACCCCTCGGCTGTCACTCCGGCGAATCCGCCCGTGCGCCCCGCCACCGCCCCCGTCCGCCCATTCTACAACCCCAACCAGAGGCCAGCACGCCCCTCGAGGCCACAGCAAAAGAACGGCGCCGTCACTCCTCCACATCGCACGACCAAGAGGACAACGACCAGCAGTACCACGACTACTGCTTCTACTACTACAACTACGACTCCTCCTCCTCCGCCTCCAACTACGACCACCACAACTACAACCACACCAACTACAACAACCACCACGACGACAACAACTACAACGACTCCTCGACCCACGACGACTGCAAGCGCGAGTACGTTGCAGTTCAACAATCGGTTCGGAATTCCCTTGGGGGATCTGGGCTCGAAGGAAAACAAGATGACGACGAAGAGGAACCCGTCGAGGGATGACCTCCAGGCGATTCTGGCTGACCTGATGTTCTTCACGACTCCTCGACCTCGTCCTCGACCTCGTCCGCGGCCTCAGCCACACCCTCAGGCTCCCCTTCGAGTCCCCGATGAAATCACGATCTTCTCGAGGCCGAACTACAACGCAAGACCCACCTCAACGCAGCCTCCCCCTAACCGAACCCCAAGCTCGGCGGATCACCTGGTCACATTCCAGGACATTTTGGAAGGAAACAGGAGACGTCCTTCGTTCTCAGCCTCGCATTCCTCGTCAGGCAGCCAGATGGCCTCGACGGCCTCCCACCAGACGCCAGGAGTGCCCTATGTCACGTCTTACACCGGGGTGAGAGAACCTCAGCCTCCGAAGCCACCTGCAGATTTCAGGTTCCCACTGGACAGATTCCGATACCCCAGCACCTCGTACGCAGCCACAACCCTGCCTCCCGCCACCGAACCCACTGTCGCTGCATCGTCTTTCGACATTTGGGATTTCCTCACGACCAGGAAGCCTCTGATTCTGAACACAGAGGTGGTAACGTCAACGAGCATCGACGTTCAGTACGGCTCAACGTCCTCGGACCAAGGAACAACGCAGTATGGTCCTGTGTATAGACCGGCGAGTGAGCTGGCCCCAGTTTACAGACCGACCATCAACAATGGACCAATCTACAGACCTGCTCAAGGGACTACAGACGAGTATGGCCCGGTGTATCGGCCAAGCAGCGAGCCAGCACCTTTAAAAGAGTTTTCCGGAGACCAGAATTACCTAACGGTTCCTGTGATATCTGGAACTAACGTCCGCTATATCACCGTGAACAAGA